CAGATCCATCCCTCACTGTACCTCCAGCCTAGTTACACTCTATCACCTTGTGTTATGGGTGGAATTACGTCCCTTCAAAATTCACATTTTGGAGTCCTAGCCCCCAGTACCTCAAATGTGACTATATTTGGAATAGAGCCTTTAAAGAGGTAGTTAAGGTAAAAAGAGGTCATATGGGCTTCCCTGGTGGCGCAGTGGTTAAGAATCTGCCTACCAATGCAGGGAAAGTGGGTTCGAGCCCTGGTCCAGGAAGATCCCACGTGCCGTGAAGCAGCTTAGCCCATGCACCACAACTACTGAGCCTGCACTCTAGAGCCTGTGCAGCACAACTACTGAGCCCACGCATCACAACTACTGAAGCCCGTGCACCTAGAGCCCGTGCTCCGCAACAAGAGAAGCCACCGCAATGAGAAGCCCGTGTACCGCAATGAAGAGTAGCCCCCACTCACTGCAACTAGTGAAAGCCCACGCACAGCAGCAAAGACCCAACGCAGCCAAAAATAAATAAATAAAGTAATTAATTAATTAATTTTTAAAAACCATATTTCTCAACTTAAAAAGAAAAAAAAGAGGTCATATGGGTGGGCCCTAATCCAATATGACTGGGTAAAGAAGAGAACATTAGGACTCTGACACAGAAGGAAGACCATGTGAAGACACAGGGAGAAGATGGGCATCTGTAAGCCAAGGAGAGAGGCCTTAGCAGAAACCAACCCTGCTGACACCGTGATCTTGGACTTCCAGCCTCCAGAACTGTGAGGAAATATTTCTGTTGTTTAAGCTACCTGATCTGTAATATTCTGTTACAGTAGCCCAAGCAAATCCAGGATCCACCTTGTCCTGTTTTCCCCTGTGGTATTTCTCAGTGCTTGATATTACACATCTGTGTATTTATTTATCTCCCTCATGAGAATGTAAACTCCATGAAGGCAGACTTTACCTTGTTCACCGATGTGTCCCCAGCACTGAGAATAATGCCTGGCATGCACTAGTGCTCACACGTTTGTTGAGTGAGCGAGCACCTCTGACACTGCTCTCCTGGGCCCATAATCATCCTCCCAGGTTACTCAGTGCCTTCCTAACAGGTCACTCCCTTTTTTGTGCTCCGTTACCCTTTGAGACGTGGCCCCTGCTTATATCTCCAGCCTCGTCCCTCACGCCCCCTCATGCATCGCCCCCCGGCCAGACTGAACTCTTTCAAGAAAAGTTAGTCCCGCTCCTCTGGCTCTTGTGACACACTGTTTCCTACCCTGGCCCCCAACACACCCTCCCTTTGCCCATGTATCCCTCTCATCTTTTTTTTTTTTTTTTTTTTAATTAAGCAATTTTTTTTTGAGGAGAGAGAGAGACATTTATTTTAAGAAGTTGGCTCACACAATCCTGGAGACCAGCAAGTCTTTAGGAAGTAGGCTCAGGTAAGAGATGGTGTTGCCATCTTGAGTCTGATGGTCTGTCTTGAGAATTCCTTCTTCTTCTTTTTCTTTTTTTGGCCGTGCCTTGTGGCATGTGGGATCTTAGTTCCCTGATCAGGGATCAAACCCTTACCCCCTGCATTGGAAGTGTGGAGTCTTAACCACAGGACCACCAGGGAAGTCCCTATCCCTCTCATCTTGATGCCTCCCGTGTTTCTGTTTGTCCCTCAGTAGGGGGCTGCCTGTCTTGTCCATTATTGTGTTCCTAGAGCCAAGTACAAGATGTGGCACAAAGTGGACTTCAGCCAAGATTTACTGAATGGATTCTGACCTCTCCGTCTCCTTGTTTCCGCTTTGCACAAAGGGGCTTCTATGTACTCTTCCCCACTCACCACCAGGGGGAAGCATGGAGTAAAGAAAACACGCGGCTTCTACTGGGTTCAAATTCTGAAGCTAGTATTTGTGACCCTTGGACAGGTGTCTCTGAGCCTGTTTTTCCTCTCATGTAAAACAGAGATAATTATACCTACTAATTAGGGTTGTTGTGAGAATTGAGTAAATATAAGGGCGTTCAAACTTTCCTTTTTGCCCTTTGGCTATTTCTTCCCCACTAGATTCTTAGCTGTAACAGGTTTCCTCAACTAGTAGGAAACTGGGATTGTTCTTTCCAGCCACCCTCTCCGTAGGCAGTGTCTGCCCTTACGGAGAAGAGTGGGCCTGTGTGTGCGGGAGAACTCTGGCCCCTCGCCCACCAGTTGTGCAGCTGTGGGCAAGTCATTTAACTTCTCTGAGCTTATGCTTTCCCAACTATAAAACAGTGACGTTGCTATTTGCCTCCCTGACGATTTGTTCTGAGGATGGATGTGCAAAGCACTTCATAAACTCCTAACCAGCCCTTGCCCTTGACTCCTTTCTCTTAATGCTTTTGAAAATGAGTGTTGTTAAGGTTAAAATAATTTCCAGAGGGGATCTCATCCTTGGATGGCAAAGTAAAGGGCCTCCCAGGATAGAGGAGAGCGGTCACTCCTCTTCCCCCACATAACTGGGCTTGCTCGGGTAGGCTGATTTCATGGGGAACTCACCTGCCAAACCCTCCTGAGGGCCTCATGGCTTATCTTACTCAAGAGCTCTTGGTCTGGTACGCAGTGGGATGAAATAGCTGTTAGTAGACAGGGCCAGGCATTGCTATGTGCCGGCACCCCTTTAATAGTTGCATGTAGACAGTTTAAAAGAACAGCAAGGACATCAAAACTCTGAAAGTTCCACCTGGAGAGAGGGAGGAAGAAAGAGCTCCCACCCCACCCCACCCCCAGACCTCAGAGCACTGGGTCTTGGCATGGTGACCTGTTTGTATTTATTATAAGAAACTTGGGTCTTTGTAAGTGATACCTGGCCCCCCTTTTCCTTAGCTGGACTCCTCTAGGGCACTGCCCGTGTACCTGCGAAGGAGGCTGGGAGGGGCTAAGAGCAACTACTTTGTTTACTATATGCCAGGGACGTATCATTCTTCAGCTTTGGGGCCAAGAGCTATGGTTTGCTGTGTACCCTGGGTCTGCTAGGGCAAGTGTGAGTCCCTTTGGCTGGCTGGAGAATTGTCTGGGGAGAGGCTTTGTGCTCTGTTCAGACCCTGCCTTCTAGTGGCCAAGGGGACCAGCCATGCAGTCCTGACCCTCTCAGTCCACCCCGCCAGCCTCTAGGAACCTGGTCCCTGTCCAAGGGTGAGTGGAGAGAGGGGAGAAACACTTTCCCCAATAAAAAGCTGGTCTTCCCTGAGCTCCTTTCTCTCCACCTGGCTTTTGAAATGTACACTTCCCTGAAGGTGGGAGGTGGTGGAAGAGGGCTGGTGGCATGGAATCTCCATTTCTGAAGCAAAAATCCAAACTAATGTGTAAGGACTTGAGAGAGAACTGGTCTTGGAGTCACGAGCTGTGAGTTCAAGTCCTACCTCTGTATGTACTTTCTGTGTGACTTTGGACATTCTGTTAACTTTCCATTAACAAGCCTGCGTATCCTCATTTGTATGGTGGGACTCAAATATAGCGCCTCCCTCACAGAACTATCCCAGGGGTCACATATGTAAAGCACTTCATAATGTAAAAAGTGTTATAAAAACGTGAGGCATTGCTCAAATTATTGCCAGAAAAGCCTCTTTGTGGCTCCTTCTGAGTGTTCCTCAGGCAGCCGTGGCAGTGGGCGCCCCATCCTAGATGGCCTGCCACGGGGGGTTAAGATCCTGGTGACTGTTTTAGAGGCACTTAAGCCACTTGTGGGATGGTAAGAGAGCACCCACCTTGGAGTAAAGAACCAGGGACTTGAATTCCAGCTTTACCACTTTCCTGGGCTCTGTGACCATGTGCCACTCACTTAACATGGCCAAGTCTCTCTTCATCTGTATATTGAGGATGATGATACTCTCTGCACGTTGGAGAGGGAAAGGGGTGGAGAGTGTAAAGCAAAACCACTATATAAAAGGATCTGGAACATGGTAGCTTCTTAAGTACAAACTTTGAATCTGCATCTTCATGTACTTGGGGCTTAAAGAAACTACAATTCAGCAGCTTGTTACATGCCCTGAAGTTTTGAGTTGCTCCTTGTGGTGTAGGGATGTTTAGAGAGTGCAAGCATGTGCTTTGAAATCAAAAGTAGGGCCTAGGTAAACCAGTAAAGGAAGTGTGCTGCGGGGTAGGTCTGTTTATATTGGTTGGAAAGCAGGGCATTTTTCCCTGAGGCAGGTTTTCCATGGAGGAAAATCTGGATCCAAGAGAGATTAAAAGTCTCAAAGGTAAAGGAAAGATGTAAGAAAATGGCCTGTACTGAATCACTGCAAAGGACAGTATTCATCAGGGAATTAATTTGGAAGGAAATAGAGTGTGAAATAGCAGCAAGGCTTTCAACTCTGGCCTTAGAAACCCAGTCGGTGCTTCAGAGGCTCGCCAAGGCCCAGCCTGGGAGCTACCTCCAGAAAAGCAGCCGGGGGATGCCCAGAGACCACAAATTGCTGAGCTCGGGAGGAACTGATTGAGTGTGTAATTAAGGGGAGGGTTGTATAACACTTGGGTAAGTAGAACTTGATGGGGTCAAACCAGCAGGGCTTCTGGGAGATGAGAGAGCAGTCCCTGGAGCTGCTAGTAATGGAAGCCAGATGCATCATGTTAGACACAGCTTACCTGGGCCTGTGGGGAGAAGGATGGAAGAGATCAGGAAGGAGAAAGGTTGAAAGAGTGATTGCTCCCTAGATCAAAGCGTCCCCAGATGCTTAACACCCTAGTGGCTCAGTTCTAGGTGTAAGGTGGCATTCTGGAGCAATGGGCAAAATCCCCAGAAACTGAAGATCAGAGAGGCTGTGACTTGGCCAAGATCACATAGCACGATGCAGATGCAATGGATGCTGAATCTTGACTGTGGGTCCAGAGTGTGTCTTGGTATACGCCAGTGATGGTGACAGCTAGGAGGGAACTGTCAGAATGTAAAGGGGGCATCTTTGATCACGTGTAGGGATTAGGAATGGAAATCATTCACCTTTTATTTGTGGAAAAAATGGTCATGTGGAGGCTGAACACTGAAGCAATTAGGCACATTTAGGAACGCTTGAATTCCTATAGCTGTATCCCTAGCATTCCCCTAGTACAAGAGGCCCCTCATGATAGGCCCTCTGCCCACCTCTCCTACCTCTTGCTCTTCCCTCAGTTCTTGAGACGTTGGCTCCCTCTCGTCATTCAGACCTCAGCTTAAATGCGACTTTTTCGTATGAGAATATTTCCTTATGTGTTTATGTGTATGTTTAATTTAGTGTTTATTTCTGCAGAGACACAATAGAAACTCAGTGGTTAAACAGACAGGCTCTGGAACCAGACAGCCTAGGCTGATGCTCCATCCGTTAGGATCTGTGTGATCTTGAGCACGTGTCTTAACTCCTCTGTGCCTCAGAACACTTAATCTATAAAATGGGAGTAATGATAGTACTGTATTTACTTCATAAGATTTTGTGAAGAATAAACATGTAAAGTGTTTAGAAAAATACCTGGCCCATAGGAAATGCTCGATAAATGTTAGCTAGTAGTAGTAGTAGTATTAGCATTATCCTGTCTCTCCCTCTATAATCAGCAGGAACCTTGTCTGGTTTGTTCACTGCTGTGTGTTTCTCCAGCACATAGATCATGACCTGGCACGTGCGGCCTCAACACATATTAATTGAGTGAATTTTCTGAATTAATAAAGTAACTAAATCAGTGGTCAGTCATTCTTCAGGGAGATGTTTCATGTTGTACGGTAGGCCTCTGCCCTTTTGGACATGTTTTTCAATGGTTTGCGTAAAAATATAACTGAATAAACATAGAGTGCAGGCTAGTCACATTTACTAAGTGCATAGAACTGGGAGGAACAGGTTATTGAATGAATGAATAAGAGTGAATAAATGATAAGTATGTTAGATATGTCCAGATATGTCCATGTTGATATCTTTCTTTTGTTCCTGGGCCAAATATTACAAGATGTAACTTACTGGGGATAAATACGGAGTTCTTGATCTCACAGTCAGTTGCCCACAACAGTATAGGGGTTGTAGTGAGCAATTTGTTCAGTGTGAATCAATAATATGATATGTTCCTCAAAATTCTAAGTGTGCTGTGTCTGCACTCGTCCCTGAAATGAAGGAGGTGATGGCCCTGTTTTGTCCTGTGCAGCCCGGAGCACACCCAGAGGGCTGTGCTCAGATCTGAGAGCCAGACTTGGTAGCAGAGACAGACAAACATGTCAACTGGAAAAGGACCATCAAGGGGGAGGAATGGAGGCACTGAGGGAACATCGAAGATTTTTTTATGTGGATCCCAGGGACCACACTCAGACCAGTATGTAAGCTATAGGGACATGTAGACTTTAGATCAATATAAGGATAGTCGATGAAGTAATCAGAGCTGCCATGCATGAACTGGGCTGTCACTGGAGGATTTTGAGCTTATGCTGGCATTTTGCCAGACTATGGAAAAGGGTCGCACACCAGCCAGGTGGTGGAATAAATGGCCTTCAAGTCTCCACCCACCCTGAGAATCTGTGCTCCTATGATTCCACAGCATCCTTCATTCCCTGTGAACAGTCTGAGTCAGAGGCAGGCCTCGTTTTGTTTTTCATGTGGTCAAGGATGGGGTTTGGTCCTCTAATTTGATGATTCTGAACTTTAAAGAAGAGGGGAGTGCTTGAGAATCTGGTGACCTCAGTATAACCCTGTTAAAAGTGTTGCTACCATCACCTTGGGCCGGTTGGGCTTTGAGACTCCAGGGAATAGTGGCCCTTGAAATAGTACCTTCTTGCTACTGCTCAGAATTTACACTCTGGTGCTTCTTTCTCTAAGGCTTTTCTGTGCTGCCTTTCAGTGCCCAGGAGAGCAGCAAGAGGGCTCCCTGGGTCTCTCTTCTGAAAGAAGAAACACAATTTCCAGCTCCAGCTAGAACCTTCCTACTGCCCAGCCAGCACACATCTTGTGAACTTTTGAATTTACTCACTAGCGCCGCCATTTCAGATCTTCTCTTTTTGCATTGTGAGCCCCGGGATGAATCTCAAAAATGCTTTGATAACTCAGCTTGTACAAGGCATATGCATGTATGTTACCTGATATCAGTCTCATAAAAACTCTGTGACATCCAAACGTAAAGCTGCTGGCTCCGAGGGAACAAAGCTCTGAGGGATCAAAGTCAGTGTTCCAGGGAGAGGCAGAGGCAGGACTCAGAGTCCCACCTTGCACCTTGAGGTCAGCTTGGTTTTCTCCCCATATCCCCATACCTGTCCTCTGGGATGTGGCTTTCCTTTTGCTTTGCCTCCTTCACCACATGTGGTACCTTCTTCTTTTCACTTTCCAGTATCTTCCTTTCTCCAAAGCTTACATCCACCTGTGCTCTGGTTCCTTTTCTGCTTCTTGTGATCTTCCTGCCAAGGATGGTAGGAGTACTCTTGCATCCTCAGTCCCTCCCACTCAATTGGTTCCTTCCTTTCTGTCTTAAAATAGTAATATTTCCATTATCTTAAACTTTATTTCTCCTTTCCTTCTAGCTATCATCTTATTTCTCTTGCCTAGTAATGCCAAACCTACTGAGTGTATTATAACTCACTATCCGTCTCCTTGTCTCTTTCACACTCAAACCCTTTTCCCTGATACTTACCCTTGCAATCTGGCTTCCTTTTTTTTTTTTTTTTTTTTTTGCTTTATCAAAACTGTACTCTGGAAGACCAAAGCATCATTTAATCAATTTTGAGGCCCATCCTTAGTGCCCTCTCATTCTTCAATTCCTCTGTACCATTTGGCCCTGTGCACCATCTCCTATTTCTTGAAAACCACTTTCCCACCCTCTCAGGACGTATACAACTCTATACATTTGTAGCTATTCCACTGACTGATTCTTTTTTATCTGGACAACAATTTCCTCATCAGTTACACGAGAGAGGTGGGCTAGATCATTTCTAAGCTTTCTTCCTATTCTATGAATTTCAGTTTCTTTGGTTGAAACTTCTCCCCGCTTCTGACTGTGCCAATCCTTCATGACTTAGTTCTTGGCCTTCCATGCGACTCTCTTTTCTCCCACTTCCATGGATAGATAATCTATACTCATCTCCATGTGGAAAAATTCACATCTCCATAACCAATCCAAACCTCTCATCCCCCTGCCTTTACTTCCAGCTGTGCACACACAGATGCCACATCATCACTCACTTCATACTCAGCACTTCCTCAACCCCCAACAAGCACTTCTCCCCAACTCCCCCAATTTTTATCCGTGACACCCGAGGCTTGGGTAAGGTGGGGTGAGGAGGGGAAGCTAACTGCTTTTAAACTATATTCTGAGAATATAATGAAAAAGTAAAATATAGGCCCAAGTATCTGGGGGAAAAGATTTAATAAAGGAGAGAGACAAAATGAAATCACTTAACTCCAAATCTCTTTGCTATAAAGGGAACCAATCTTCAAGCCAAAAATGGCCAAACAAACATGGTTAGGAGGGATCAAAACCTTAAAGAGGTGAGCACATAACACCAGGTTGCTTTTAATGACTTCAGATCTTCCTATCCAGTGAATAATACCCTGAGGTAGATAAAGAAGTTCTAAATGTTACTTCAGAGAATTATCTATGAGAAATTAAGATATTTTCAGATTTTGAGTCTCAGAGAGCCAAAAATACAAAGGCAAATGTGGTCCTAGTTTTTTAAAACCCGTGAAATGTTAGATTCCAGAACCTGAAGACCGAGAGCTCCTTGGCCCCCGGTAGAGCCTAGAGTGGACTCTGAAACTAATAAAAGTCTGTGAGCACTTAGAGAAGAAAGCGATAATTACCATTCGGAGTCAGTAGTTAGCTAAAGTATTTCTTTTGTTTGGGTTAATAGACCAATAAGTCAAAGATTCCCAAGAAATTGATAAAATCTTTTTGGTTAGTTTATGTTTCTCAGTCTTACATGTTGGCAGTTTCCTTTTCTTTCATGTCATACCTGTGCTTGTAATCACCTGTTCAGTGTCTGGCTTCTTCAATCAATAGGCTATGAGCTTGGTGAGGGCAGGGTGGGACCATTCCTGACCACTTCACTGCTGTATCCATAATTCTTAGCTTTGTAGGTACTGATTAAAAGAATAGATAAAAGGATTAATTGCTTAACGGGTAGTTAGAAAATGTGAACTGGATGATGATAGATTTATAAGTGATTGCAAAAGTATACTTAAAATATTAATGAATTACTCAATTGATGCCAATCTAAAGATTAGCTCTAACTATAAAACTCTTGGAAGAAAACAGGAGGAAATCTTCATAACATTGGATTTGGCAATGATTTCTTGGATATGACACCAAAAGCACATGAAAGAAAAAAAGTGGATAAGTTGGACATCATCAAAATTTTAAAAGTTTGTGCTTCAAAGGACACTATCAACAGTGAAAAGGTAGCCCATGGAATGGGAGATACAAATCATGTATCTGATAAGGAATTGATACCCAGAATATATAAAGAACTCCTACAACTCAACAGACACAAACAACCCAAGTCAAAAAAGGGCAAAGGTGACCATATGTGTGTGTGTTTATCTCTTAGCTTTCTATCCTGTTCCATTGATCTATATTTTTGTTTTTGTGTCAGTACCATACTCTCTTGATTACTGTAGCTTTGTAGTATAGTCTGAAATCAGGGAGCCTGATTCCTCCAGCTCCATTTTTCTTTCTCAAGATTGCTTTGGCTATTCAGGGTCTTTTGTGTTTCCATACAAATTGTGAATTTTTTTGTTCTAGTTCTGTGAAAAATGCCATTGGTAATTTGATAGGGATTGCATTGAATCTGTAGATTGTTTTGGGTAGTATAGTCATTTTCACAATGTTGATTCTTCTAATCCAAGAATGTGGTATATCTCTCCATCTGTTTGTATCATCTTTAATTTCTTTCATCAGTGTCTTACAGTTTTCTGTATACAGGTCTTTTGCCTCCTTAGGTAGGTTATTCCTAGGTATTTTATTCTTTTTGTTGCAATGGTAAATCGGAGTGTTTCCTTAATTTCTCTTTCAGATTTTTCATCATTAATGTATAGGAATGCAAGAGATTTCTGTGCATTAATTTTGTATCCTGCTACTTTACCAAATTCATTGATTAGCTCTAGAGTCATGTACCACAATGTCCATTGCAGCTCTGTTTACAATAGCCAGGATATGGAAGCATTCTAAGTGCCCATCGACAGATGAATGGATAAAGAAGATGTGGCACATATATACAATGGAATATTACTCAGCCATAAAAAGAAATGCAATTGAGTTATTTGTAGTGAGGTGGATGGACCTAGAGACTGTCATACAGAGTGAAATAAGTCAGAAAGAGAAAAATAAATACCATATGCTAACACATATATATGGAATCTTAAAAAAAAAAAAAAGGTTCTGAAGAACCTAGCGGCAGGACAGGAATAAAGACGCAGACATAGAGAATGGACTTGAGGACACAGGGAGGGGGAAGGGTAAGCTGGGATGAAGTGAGAGAGTGGCATGGACTTATATATACTACCAAATGTAGAATAGCTAGCTAGTGGGAAGCAGCCGCTTAGCACAGGGAGATCAGCTTGGAGCTTTGTGACCACCTAGAGGGGTGGGATAGGAAGGGTGGTAGGGAGACGCAAGAGGGAGGAGATATGGGGATATATGTATATATATAGCTGATTTACTTTGTTATAAAGCAGAATCTAACACACCATTGTAAAGCAATTATACTCCAATAAAGATGTTAAAAGAAAAAAAAGGGCAAAGGACTTGAATAGACATTTCTCTAAAGAAGACATACAGATGGCCCATAAGCACGTGAAACAATGTTCAGCATTACTAGTCATCAAGACAATGTAAACCCAAACCACTTCACACCCATTAGGATGGCTATTATTAAACAAACAAACAGAAAATAACAAGTGTTGGCAAGGATGCAGAGAAATTGGAAGCCTTGTACATTCCTGGTGGGAATGCAAAATGGTATAGCCACTGTGGAAAACTGGCAATTCCTCAAAAAAATCAAGCTTAGAATTACCATATGATCCAGCAATTCTACTTCTGTAAGTTAATGAAGTTGACTTACATTAAGGATTAGTTAAAGGGCTTCCCTGGTGGCGCAGTGGTTGAGAGTCCGCCTGCCGATGCAGGAAACACGGGTTCGTGCCCCGGTCCGGGAAGATCCCACATGCCGCGGAGCGGCTGGGCCCGTGAGCCATGGTCGCTAAGCCTGCGCGTCCAGAGCCTGTGCTCTGCAACGGTAGAAGCCACAACAGTGAGAGGCCCGCATACCACAAAAAAAAAAAAAAAAAAAAAGATTACTTAAAAAAAAGTTAAAGCAGGGACTCAAACAGATATTTGTATACCCACGTTTATAGCAGCATTATTCACAATAGCCAAAAGATGGAAGTAACCCAAGTGTCCATTTCCAGAGGAATGGATTAAAAAAAATGGGATATATACACACAATGGATTTACTCAGTGCTAAAAAGGAGGGAAATTCTCATACATGCTATAACACGGATGAACCTTGAAGAAATTATGCTAAGTGAAATAAGCCAGTCACAAAAGGACAAATACTATATGATAATTCCATTTATTCAAGGCACCTCGAGCAGTCAGATTCATAGAGACAGAGAGTAGAATGGTGGGTGCCAGGGGCTGGAGGGAGGAGGAAACAGGGAGTTATTGTTAATGGGCACAGAGTTTCAGTTTTGCAAGATGAAGAGTCCTGGAGAGGGATGGTGGTGATGGTTGAACTACGATGATATACTTACTACCACGGAATTGTACACTTAAAAATGGTTAAAATGGGGGCTTCCCTGGTGGCAGTGGTTGAGAATCTGCCTGCTAATGCAGGGGACACGGGTTCGAGCCCTGGTCTGGGAGGATCCCACATGCCGCGGAGCAACTAGGCCCGTGAGCCACAACTACTGAGCCTGCGCGTCTGGAGCCTGTGCACCGCAGCAAGAGAGGCCGCGACAGTGAGAGGCCCGCGCACCGTGATGAAGAGTGGCCCCCGCTTGCCACAACTAGAGAAAGCCCTCGCACAGAAACGAAGACGCAACACAGCAAAAATAAATTAATTAATTAATAAACTCCTACCCACAACATCTTCTTTAAAAAAAAAAAAATGGTTAAAATGGTAAATTTTATGTTAGTTCTTTTTTAGCACAATAAAAAGAAATAGGTGAAAAAAAAAGAGTAACTCTAATTGTGAACTTCAGGACTTTATTCTGGGCCCTTTCATCACTTGGAGAGAACCAAAACAAACAATGTTAGAACAATTTTCTAAGGACTTTAAGATTCTGGAATAATGGATTAAAATTAATATTGAAATTAAAGAGGAATAACTGTAAAATTCTGAATGCAGAATATAAATAAGCAAAATTTATATAGGATTAGGGCAATGACTTATTTTACATGAAAAAGATCTTGGCGTTTTCATTTCCTAAAATTCCAAAGTAACCCCACAGCAGAAATATATTTTTTTTAAAGATAACTTTCCCCTATTCATAGAACCGTGTTCAGGTAAAAGGAAGTAACAGTCTCACTGTGCTCAGTGCTGATCAGACAAGACTGGGGCACCACTCTCTTCAGTTCTCGGTACTGTACTTTCAAGGCGTTTATAAGCTGTAATAAAGCAGGATAAAACTGTGAGAACTGTTAGGGAACTCAAAACCAGATCTCACGGTTTTTGGTTGATGAATAAGGGGATTTAGCCTGGGAAAAAGAAAATTAAGAGGGACAGAATAATTGTTTTCAACTATCTGAAAGGCTGGCCTGTGAAATAAGGACTGTCTTTATTCTGTATTTACTCTTAAGAGCAGAATTGGGATAGACAGAAAGCTAAAAGAAGGCTGATTCTTCGTGTGGCAGAATTTTCTAAATATTAGAACTGATGACATTCAGTAGAATGGCCTCCCCGGTACTGGGTGGCCACCTGTCAGGAACGCTGTAGGGCAGTAGGTGGGTCCTTTCCGACACCATGATTCTAGCTTCCTTTCATTTTCTCAGTCTTGGCATTGTTTGACTCCTCCTTCTTTCCTCCAATATCTAATGACGTTTTCAGGGCTCTTCCTTCACAGCCCTCTTGGCTTTACCCTTTACTCTTCACCGCCATTGCCAGCAGCCTGACTTCCTCATCCCTGGATGACTTGTGCGTGCTGCCAGTCAGCTCTTCCAGCTTTAGGGCTGCTTGCTTCAATCCATTCTGCATGCTCCTGCCAGACTCATTTTATAAAATATTTACCATGTAATTCCCCTGATCAAGACCAAAGAGTGGTTTCCCAGTGCCTCCCACGTCAAAATGAAATTTCTTTTCTTGCCTTTTGGGGCCATTCTTCTTTCCCTGTCTTTTCCACCTCACATTCTATTACTCAAATGATCTATTTTGGTTAAGCTGTTCGCTTCAATGTCAACTAGCCTGATTGTCTTCACCGGTTCATTCCCACGCCATTCCCTCATGTGTGCTGTCCTTCTGTGTATCCCCCCCCCCCCACCGCTTTATTATAGAGACCACCTCATGTACCACAACCATACAAAATCTTTCCTGGCCACCCAAACTCACGCTGATCCTTCCTTTCTTTCATTCACCGAATAAATATTTACTGATTGCTGTTAGAATGCAGGTACTATGCTAGATGCTCGTGAACAAGTGATGAGCAAGAAAAATTCAGTTCCTGACTTCATGGAGTGGGTGAGATAGAATAAACAATTGCTGTAGAGGACACAAATAGGATGTTGTGCTACAAAATGATGATGTGCATATGTGTGTGTGTGCGTGTGCGCGCTGAGGATGGGTGGATGTTTTGATGGGGTAATCAGAAAAGGCCTTTCTGAGGAGGTAACAATTAAGCTGAGACCTGAAGGATGTGAAGGTGTCAGTTCTATTTTACAGCCATTGCTAGTATATATCTCTTCAATTAGATGTAGGCTCCTTGTAGGCAGCTGTTATACTTTCCTTTTACTCTGCTGTGCCCAGCACAGTGCAGGATCTAAGATAAATGCCCAATGTTTCTTATAAGGCCCTTGCTGAAACCATGGATTCTGTTATATAATGCTAAAGACCATTTCTTTCCTGGGCCAAGTGACGCCTAGTTCATACTTTGTATGGATGTGATCCTTGTATTTCCTTATTGGTATTATTACACTTTTAAATAATAATGATTATATTTTAAAGGCCTTGCAGACACTAAGTATAATAGGAATGAAGAGGATTGTAGGAATTCTCTAGCTTCATTGACAAGGAAAAGACAAACTAATCTTTATGACAGTATATTGACATTTCAAAACTAGCATTTAATTATTTACATACTGTAGTATATTAAAAGTACATATACATTTGTATAAATAAATCTGTGTGTGTGTATAAAATTTTTTAATAGCTCACCTACTGACAGCTGTAACAGAGAACTTCACCAAAGCCTTGGAAGAACTTTTGCAGTTTGGAGAACAAAATAAATCACAGTAATCCATGATTCCCTGTAACCAAATACACTTTGAATGAAGGCAATGGTGATGACTCAGTGTCTAGCAAGGTGCTGGGCCCGGCTGGACTGCATTTGATGCTGGGAACTGAGCCGCCAGAGGCCAGAGCTCCAGAGATTTTAAAGCCCAGCCGAAAGCACATGCTTAGATCAGACTGATTCATGGGGAAGGGCGAGAGTTTCCAGGAAAAGAAACTCTCGGCGGAGCTGTGGGGTTTCTATGTGGGAAGCGGGGAAAATGAAAGCCCCTGAAAGCTTGGCAAAGACTGAGAAATAAATACAGGCTCCCAGGAGTCTTCAACGGAAGAAACTTAGGCTGTGACCAAAAAAAAAAAAAAAAAAAATTTTTTTTGAAAAGTTAAATCCACCCTCAACACTAATTAACTGGACACTGAATACCACTGAGATTTCTAAGTCCTTTTTGCCTTTGACCCGAGCTCCAGCCACAGGAGAAAGAAAGAGGGAGTCTAGCACAGAGCTGTGGGCAGGTTGTACAGTATGAAGAACCAAACTTCCTGGAGTCACACATCAAACCAGTCCAGTCCTGTCCCCCTCTCCCCACCATGGGGAAGACCTGCACTTTCCTAAGGCTGGGCTTTTTTTTTTTTTTTTTTTAACCTGTTCTTTGGAACCCTGGGGTCCCTCATAATTGCTTCAGGCTCTGAGGGGGGATTTTGCAAGGGAAGCCTGAGTTCTTGTATGTTTGGTGAAATAACTGAATTTTTCCATGCTTTAAATACGTGTGAGGGACTCATTTCTGAACCTTCTCTTTATCTTCTTTCTGTGATCATATACTCACCTTCTTCCTCTGGCAGTATTTGTTGCCAAGCACAACTAAGCACTGAGCCAGAAAGTTAACAGTTGAAGTGTGGTTACCTATAGGCAGAAAACAGATCGGGTCTGTTACAGTAACCCAGATAAGGAGCCATGTGAGGGGGAGAGAGAGAGAGAGAGAGAGGCTTTTTTAATTTACACAATCCTCATAGCATACCTTCTTTTTAATCTAGTTTATGATTTAACTCCCTCCAGTATAAAATATTGGGCCACAAACTGGCTTCTGGGCTCTATAAACTGTTTGCTTTAAATGTGTCATTAAAATTTTACCACCAAATTAAGATTCCTTGACTTTTCTTAAATATAAGTGTTTGTGATTTTGAAAAACATGACTGGTCTGGGTTAGAGAAAAGAAAGTGACAGTAGGCTCAACTTATTTAAGCAGCAGAAGAAATATGATGCAATTTGATGTTTTTTAAAGCAAAAGAGATGAGTCTGTGAGTTTAAAGATTTCGTAGAATAAGCAAGTTTTTGCACGTGATCTTCCTGTGGTTCTCTCACCCCTCCCCCAGCCTATCCTCCACACCCCAGGGCAGTAATCTTTCTGCAGAGCCAATCTCATCACCAGATTTCCGTGCTTAAAACTTGGAAGTTCAAACTCCTCAGCGGGCCACCCCAGGTTCTCCTGTGGCCTGTTCTCTTTCTGAGCTAATTTCTTCTCTCCACCTCCTTTGAAGAGCCCAGCTGGCTGCAACAAGCAGGCCTTTGCTGCCCCCACTTCCTGTTTAAAAGCCTACCACCACCCTCCACCAGGAAGTACTCCCTCCTTCAAGAGTAAACTCAAAACCACCTTTCGTGGAGTCTTCACCGTACCTTCTTCTCTGGCCTGTGGCACTCTGTCCGCACCTTCACTATGGCAATGCACGGAATGGTCAATTCACACACGCACTTCCCGGTCCCAGCCTTAGCACAGTTCTTGACACACACTAGGCACTCTCTAAATGGTTGCTGGTTGCTGAATAAATGAGTCTTTGGGTTAAATACAGCTTTCCTCTCCTCTCAGCACTTTAAAAGTAGTCAGAAAAGGAAAAGGAAGTGACTAAAGTGTAGACAGTTTAAACGGAACACAGTACCCACCCTGTCTAGGGTACTCCCGGCCACTGGGAAGGAGAAAGCAAGAATAAAGATAGAGACCAGGATCCCAGCTCTGCTTGGAGCTGCTGGAATTTCTCACAACAGCCAGGACCGGCTACTTCATCTGTGGGGCTCAGTACAAAATGGACATGTGGAGCCCCTGGTCAAAGATTATTAAGAATTTCAACATGTGGCAGCAGAGCATTAAACCAAGCCGGGCCTTGTGCAGCTGCACGGGTCGCATGGCCAGGAAGCTGCCCTGATGACAGAAGTTGCATCACGATCACAATATCAAGAAGTACAGGAGAGCAGGGAAGCTGGGAGAAATTTTGGATCAATTTTTTGGATCATAGCTTTAAAATATGTAAAATTGTTTTAAAACTTATTTTCTCTTGCCCCAACCCCTCATAAGACCCCTTCAGTTATGTTTGCTTGTTTTCATTTATAAGTGCAGATCCTTTAAAAAAGTAATTTTATTTCACATTGTTTTAGGGAAAATACCACATACGCTTCATTAGTCCTTAAGAAATAATGCTATGATCCACACCTCACGACTTACCCCAGAAATGAAGTTACACATCATTACTGTATCTCCTTCATTTAATCCCAAAATTTTGGCAGGGGCAGGAGTGGGAGAGACTGCCTTGGCTTTCACGGGATTATGTTAACGTGAAACATCTTTATCACCCCTTCGCTGTTTTAAAAAATCTTGCATCATTAGTTCTCCATGCAAAAGCATCCAACCTCTCAAATGTGATTTTATTTCATAGCAGGAGTGGCAAATTAGAAATTGTTACATTTAAACCCCAAATGAACTTGGTTTATCAGATGTCATCATGATGAAATGTATAAGCTGATAATGTAAATGAATGAAGATTTATTGAAGGGGTCTTTTCAAAACCCAGCTCCTTTGAAACGGGTAAGTTGGTCTGCACTGCTGCAAGTTCTCCAGCAGGGGGCAGCGCGGAGTGCCACATCCCCAGCCTCTCCCAGCAAGGGTCCACAAGACTCCTGTCTGCCTTTGGCTCCCTCCTTGGGACAGACGCAAAGGGACCACACAGCATTAGTGACCACAGCACTATGAGATGCAGCAGGAAGTGGGGATGCCCACGAAGCCGGACCAGTGGACAAACGCCAGGTCCCAGCCTTCCTTTCAGGGCTCTCATCTCACGCTCCCCATGCCTAGCTGTTTCCCTGTTCTCTTCTATTACTTCAAAGCCAGAGAACCTAGGAACAGGGCTAAATTCATGAAACAAAATGCTCGTTGTACTCTTCTAATTTCTCCACAAGGTAAAATTTTCACCGCCCAGGACCCTCTGTAAAGATCTGATTGTGTCAGAATTCTTAAACCAGTGAGCCCAGTTTTCTCAACTGCAAATGAGATGATTACGACCTACTTCCTAGGGCCCCTCAAGAATTTGCAAGGGAACGCAAGTAGAGTGGACGTGACTGGTAGAGGAGGTGCTCAAATTAAATCTCACTTTTGTGGTCTGGGGCTCTTGTGTTACTGAGAAGATAGTGCTGCTGAAGGTGGAAGAGAAAATGACTCTCAGAACACTCTCGGGGAGAGAGAGAAACATTCACAGGTAAAACTCAGACTGTGGAACACCAGCAGAGCCCCATCTGTACAAGCCTGTCTGCAGACGACTCTGCACCTGCTGCTCCTCGCTTAGATTCTCTCACCTGAGAACAAACACGCACACAGACGCCCACTTGCTTAGCTAAAGACGCCTACAACTCAAATACACACACCAGAACAAACCTAACTGTACAGAAACACAAACAGCTGGTCCCTTAGAGGCGTACCTTGCGGGACACACGCTGACGTGCCGAAGGTGTGTGCGTGGAAGTGAACTGTGTAGACTGAGCAGGGCCTGCAGAGGGGACGCGGACAGGCAGCGGTGGGGAAGCAGAACGGACGACAGAGACCCACGATTGCGGGTGCAGTAAGAATACTTCACCTTGACAAGCTCCAGGGACATTTCATGGCTTTTCAAATAACTAAAAATACACCTTTGGCCTCTTAATTACTTCACACCATTACACTGGCTCTCACAAAAATTCCCAGTAAAGACCATGAATTGCCTCTAGAGGTGGGGCATGGGGACCAGGGCTGCTCTTCTGCCTGTAGCTAGGATTTCCTGATTAGGACAGAAACAGCACAGGATCAGTCTACACGAGTAGTTACTCCTCAACAGCAAGCAATACGCTTCATCTGCAAAAGCACTTTTATGTACTTCCCCTAACCTTCACCCAGATCAACTCCGATACAAAGCTACTATGCTTCTGGGTCACATGGCAACTAATAAGCCCAATACTGAACAAACAGGAATCCAAATGGACAAAAAAGGCAATTCAATTTTGTAAGAAACAATATATTTTATTTTTCTGACACCACAGCTCTGGTGAGTGGTTTTGTACCAAATTTAATGGAGGTTACACAGAACGTTTGACGCATGGGACGGGGAGGGAAGGGAAGGAAACACAAAATTAAAAACAAAAACAAAATCTTGGATAGCTTTTAGCATCTGTTCCACTCCCACATTAATAAAATTCACTTGGGAATTCCTAATAAAAGGAGAACAGAAAACAAGGTGGGCAGGGAAGGGTAGGCTGGGGAAGAAAAGACGAAGGGCAAAGAAGACCATTGAGCATCCCAAAGACAGACCTTTCCCTCCCAGAGCCGGGACAACGCTCGGCATGGAAGGCGAGGCTTCGTTAGATTTATTTCCCCAAAATAACACCGTGTATTGCAGCTGCCAAAGGGAAAAAGAGAGGAGGGAAGCAGGGGGTCACCAGTGGGGGACACAACAGGAGGAAACTCACTTAACCAAGAAGATAGGGAAGGAGAGAGGAGGGAAAACAAGAGAAAAATGTGAAGGTGGGTCTTCAGATTGGGAGAGACAGACAGTGCTGAAGAGCACTTGAACTGAAAAACAAATGTCCTAAGCATCATTATTTTTAAAAAGAAAAATCTCCCCCCTCCCCCCACCCCTCGCTGAACTTAGTTCCTCTTTTTGTGCTTTTCATTAATACTCTGCTCTGAGGTCGTAGTTTGGTTTTTCTATACACTGGAGTTGAAAGAAAATAGTCCAAAGGTCTGAAGATGGATTCTCCACCTAAAGTAAACAGCCCAGCATTCCTGTTCTCTTGTCCCAAAGACTAAAGTCTCTGCTAAAATCCCTTTTACAATATAGTACAGTACACACAAAAAAAATAAAGCCCAAAGCAAAAACAAAACCAGAAAAGAATCCTGGGAGAAGCCAGTCCAAAGGACGTAAACATACAGAGAATGGTGCAACACATGGCCCATGGCAATTCTCAAAGCACGGCTACAGATCCCCAAGTAGGTGCTATCATGGGATACCCAAGTCCACAAAAATAATTCTTAAAAAATAAATCTTAAAAAAACACACCTGTTGATTAAATGAATAATTTGTTTTCAGATAAATCCATACATTCTCGAGTTCCCCCCTCCCGCAAAGCAGCCCTTGGGTCTCTGTTCTCCTATTGCATGACCAACAGTACTCCTGGAACTCCCTCAAAGCAGCTCTCAGGACCTGGAATCTCATCTTGACAAGGATCGGCACATCCAATCTTAGCAGCTTAAAACATCATGTTTCCTGGGTTGCCAGGTCCTTGGCTAAATCCACCCATGCCCACGTCAGCGGCCATGCTCCGGGGCCTCATCTGTGGGGGGATCATGATGTTCTGTTGGGGTCCCATCATGCCCTGCATGGACATCATCATGCCTGGAGAGCCCACAGGCCCAGGGTGGGTGTAGAGCCCGGCAGGCCCTCGATCCTTGCCAGGAATCATGCCCACGGCAGCAGCTGGATTGCTCATCAGGGTGGGCTGGCCGGGCATTGTAGATTGTGCTGGTGACATCATCCGATGGTGAGGTCCCATCATGCCTTGCTGGAGAAAGGCTGGTGGTCTCATTGGGTTGTGGCCTGGCATGGATGGAGCTGTACCAAGAGGGATGTCCGGAGTTCCCACCGGCCCTGGACCTCCCATGCCAGGTAATGCTAGTCCCATTCTGGGGGCTTGTTCGCCCATCATCCCCTGCATGTGCGAAAACCCAGGTCCAGGACCCTGGGGCTGTTTACGGCCTGGGACTTCCCCTCGAGGGAAATATTGCAGTGTCTGGCTAGGCTTCTCAGATGGAATAATGCGAGACAGATCAAACTCAGGTATTCCGGTGGCTCCAGGTCGGATGACCTCCTGTAGATCTGGGTCTGTAAACACTGAAGGCATGCTGTTCCCCAGGACAGCGAAGGAGTCAGGACCCCCTGGGCCTCCAGGCTTGCAAAGTGCTGCATCTGCTGAACTTTGGGGCAGGTTGCTGGGGCGGCCGAGGGGCCCTTCTCCTGGGAAACCCATCCCTCCTGGGAAGTTGCCCTGCCCCCCACTGGGGCCATTGTGAGGAAATGGAACCTGCTGTGGAGGAGATTGAACTGGAGGGAAGCCCTGGGGGAAACCCATCCGTCCTTGAGGTACCATCGGAGGCTCCTGGGACCCATGCCCCATGATAGGATTGTGTGACATCAAGCCAGGCCCCATCGGGACCCCATGAGGAGGTATGGTGGGTCCCATGGCATTCGGAGAGGGCATCTGATTGGAGTGAGAAAGTGGCTGGGTCATTCCCATTGGGCTGAGGGTTGGCATTGGAACCACGGGGTTTGGACCTGAAATTCGAGGATTCTGTGTATTAATGCCCAGTCCTAGAAAAATAAAGATATCAAAGGAATCAACTTAACCGAAAGCAACTCAGGAAAACTATCATAAATCAAATTAACAAAAACACTATTGTGCATCAAGTGTGCATGGTACTGTGCTGGGGAAACATACAATGCACAATCTCTGCCCTCCATAAGATTATAATACATTTTGGGGCACACAAACC